CTGTTCAAATAAAATAAATAATAATAATATACGGTAACTTTTTTTCTCCTTGTCTTCTTAGCGTTTGGACTGGGTTGATGACCCTTGATGTTTTGGACCTGTGAGGCTTATTTAAACATTGTATTCGATATTGGACTATACAATTTCCCTGTACTGGCATCCTTGTGGTCAAGAAACTGACCATGGAATTGTCTAAGTCCACCTTTGGTGCACGTCATTCTCACTCTCTCTACCCACATTTCCTGTCATACAACAAAAGCATTACTTATGTCTAGTTCTTTCTCTGTCACCTTTGTAAAAGGCACAACTTGATTTTGAAAATGTTTACTTTCTATAACATGCAGTTGCAGCTTCACCTGGGATCTGTGACCCCAACTCACATCACATCTTAAAGTTGCTATTATTTTCTATAACTGAGCAGACAAGGATCTGAAAAGTTTTGATGTGGTGAACCCTCACCATCTGGGGCTCCAGGCAGATTGAAACAAACAGAGAATTACTTAGAACTTTTATTAGGTCCAGATCTGAATACTGGTTGGCATTATGTAATAAAAATGATACTTTGAATCAGTTTAGTGGTTCCTATTGAACTCAAAGAGGCCTGTCCCTCTCTACTTTCACTGGATCTGATGACTGTGGAGACTGGTTCAACTCAATTTTGTCATTAAATACTTCTCAAAAAATGTTCTGTATTTTGTCATGATATAAGCTCTGGAAGGTACAAAGCTCACTGCTTGAGTACTTTACTTAGAGAACGCAGCTTTTTCTGTCCAGTTCTGGGACAAACAGGGAGGGACAAATTTGAGTCTTAATTGTGAACAGCTGGATCTGCAAACAAATGTTATCACCATAATCCAGTAAATGGCTGTTTTATCCATCCAATAGGCACAGGCACTAACAAAAGGACAATATACATACAGTACATAGGGGCATTTGGGCTTTGTCAGCACCAGACAGATGAGTGTTGGTATACACTTTTTCTCTTGTATACCAAATTCTTTGACTAACCCCTGTGTAGATGTAACCTAATCTAACCACCGTGTTCAGCTTGTAGGTAAATGTTGACTGTTGGCAAAATTGGACATGTCACTCAAATGGATGTGAACTGTTACCTCAAAAACACTGTTTGGAATAAGTCACAGGGTGAACAACCAGAAACACTTCAGAAGTCAGGAAAGCCTCCTTAAGCATCGGGTTCTCTGCTTTTTGATATCCAAACCTCCTCAAATGAGCAGTATTCTGTTGGAATAAGTCTCATATTGATTGTAAGTGCTTTTGTGTATAACTGAAGGTACACAGTAATGAGAGGAACTAAATGCACGGAGGCACATCATTGCTGAAGGTAGTGTTAGGATCAAGGCCCACCCACTTTAAGGGGTGTATGCGTGCGTGCTGCATATAAACATATGCATGCATCCCCCCTCTTATGTCTGCGACTTTGCCACTGTGCCCCTTTTCCAGTAAGCGTGCGGTTGTCACAGTTTCCTTGGGGCTGGATGCACCAGACAACCAAAAAGCCCACACTACTGAAACTTTATTGGTGCCAAACACCCACCTATCACAATTATCCAACCCACAAGCAGGAAGTAACAGTCCCTAATCTGTCAAACACAAGACCTGGAGACCATTTACTGTAAAGCATCTGAAGTTACTGGAAACAGGGCACGCCAGACACATGTTGCCCAAATGACAAGGATTATTAATTGCGCAAGAAGTACGTCAGAGGCAATGTTAAGCTGATCAGAGGCTCAGCCTAAGTGTGTTTGTTGTGGCTCAGTGTAAAGGAAATGACAGAAATGGTCTGATTACAGCTCTACTGCATATCCTGATCAATAAAAACTGGAAAACAGGCGGTGGCAAAACTATTGGGACAGTAAACTAACTTTTTTGTCTGTTGCCTAATTTACTAGATTTCCCATCCAAGACATCAATTACAGACAGATCTGCTTTCAATATGTACTGGGCTAATGTTCAGAGCATGATGAAACAGCAATTCTTTTTGCTCACTTTCTCTACACTTACTGTAATATTTAGATTAGACACTTATTTATGTCATACTTTTTGTGGCTTCACAGACACAACCCAGAAGATATCCATGTTTCCATCACTGTCCTACACCAACTCCACAAACTTAGATGAGATCTCCCATAATAAGTTTAAAAAGTTGTTTACTTTTCTTGTGTCTGTCTGAATCTGAGAACAGTTGGTACACAGTTTCTCTACAATTCACAAAAACATGGGATCAGCACGATATAGAAATGAGTGATGAATTAAAAACAAAAACTTGGAATAAAAGAGTGGAGAAAGACAATAAATGCTGATGTGGCTAATTTGCCACCCATCTACATCTCTCCTCATGTCTCGTTTAAGCTTGCAGCGTTTAAACAGAGCAATAGTTGGTTGTACCTGAATGCAGCGAGGTACTCAGCATCTCCCATGGGTGGGTCTAGTCCTCCTGTCCACGCCACGTTCACATTGAAGCCCTCACCCGCTCCAGAACCAACCTAAACCCAAAAGAACACATTGCATTTCATTCATGCAATGGCACCAGTCAGTTAAAAACATGCTGTTATTTGTTACATGTCAGGGACAATGTCCAGGACGTCACCCACCTCAACTGGCGACCCACTGCCAGGGAAGAAGTTTCCGTCGTCATAGCGATGGAGCGAGATGTAGAGAACACTGGGGTCGCTGTAGAACACATCCTGGGTGCCGTTGCCATGGTGAACATCCTAGCAACAGAATGAGGGAAGACATATTAATATTATACATGGCAATAACACAGGAGATAAATTCACTACTGAGTGTCACAGGCATGCTCTAGCACTACATACGCTATGGGATAATGACAAGGGTTTTTTTATTAATATAAACAATAGTGAAAGTATGTATAAGGCCAAAATTAATAAGCTGTCTTACCCAGTCGACAATGAGGATCTTGCTGACACTGAGCTTGTGTTGGAGCTGTTTGGCGGCTATGGCCACAGAATTGAAGTAACAGAAACCCCTAATAGACACAGATAGAGAGGAGGTTTAGAGACAATGTAAAATGAAAAAAAAACAGTAGCTGTAGAGGATTGTGCTATTGTGTATTAATCTTCTTTATTTTGTCCTGTTCATAAATATCCTCCTCAGAGAAGCTGCTGACAGTGCAGTAGAACAGGAAAACACACTGTGGTCAGGCTGAGCACACACACACTACCACACACACACACACACATCTACATATACACACACATATACACTTACATTGGATTGGAGGGGTCTGCGTGATGCCCTGGCGGTCTGACCACAGCAAAGCCATTCTGTGTAGAAAAAGATGTTATTAATCAGTGTTTCACTGGATATTAAGAACTTCAAGTGTACTGTGAAGAGACTACAATCTAGTATAATCTAGAAGTATACACATAAATGAAGAAACATCCTCCTTAAAAGGCACAATCCAAAGTCATTCAGGAAATAATTGACAGATCTCTAATGCAAAGATCAACAGCAGACAACAAGTAATGTGTCCTGGTTTATATAAAGTTTGTTTACAGTAAGTTTCCATTATGATCACATACTAATTCATACTGGGTTCACATACAGTATGAAGATCTTCATTATCCCAGAGAGTAAAACTCAAAGCATAAAGTTAAACAACATTTCATGAATACACAAGATGAAATGTGTGAGTTGTGGCAATGTAAAGACAATGGAACTATCGTACTATCGCTGCTCAGTACAAACTGAGCCTTAGAGTGCTGTTTATTGTTTTTCATTCTCTGCCTGCTTGCTTTTGTTTTATTTTGTTTTGGTCTAAAATGGTCTGGTTTGAAGCTGCCAGCTATAAATACTTGCCAATTGTATTTTTACATTTGACCATTTAGAAGTAAAAAAAGAGAATTCCATGTTTTTTCCAGACTTTTAATCATTGTGAGACGGAAAAGAAGAACATTTGGAACATGATGTGACGGGAAAACTCTTTTCTAAAATCCATTCATCTTTGAAGTGGGTTAGTAGCTCCTTAAGGCCGGGTGAGGCACACTTCTTTGCCGGATGCATTTCTAAGTTGGTGTGTCTTTCCGACCCTTGCAGTTGATGTACAGGAACAAAACAAAGACTCCAGAATTAATTCACAACAGTTTTTGTCCCATGACCCAGTGCCTGAAAAGCAGTGACTCTGTCTGTGTGCATGGGTATAACGTTAAAACTGTCATGTTTATGTCTCAGCCTAACAAACGTTGTTGTTTTTTTCACCATTTGACATTATAAACCAACACAGGTTCGGTGTGTGTGTGTGTCTACTTGTTCCTACTACTGAATAAATAAATAGCCATACACAATACTATAGTATAACTGTTTGTATTGCAATGTGGCATCCCCTGCCTCCATAACGTTCTTAGTGTATTATTGCTTGCATATTTTTTTGTGATAACCGTCTGTAGAGCCATATGTAAGACGGATGAAAAGTTGGGAATGAGTCAACAAAACGTATCCACAACAATTATTTCAACTAGTAAGAAGTCTAATGTGGAGATGACAGAATGACGTGTGGCTCTATCCCATCTTGGTTTTAGATTCTCACCTTTAGTTCTCCTTTGGCCACTCTGAAGGCCAGCTCCACAACGCTGCCTGCTGCCATGCGTGATGCCGTAGAGGTGTGCGACTCATTCCAGGTGGTGTCATTATCAACCTACAGACAAATGATGGAAGCCACTGAATGACAGCACAAACAAATAGCGTGGAAATATTTAGAACATGTGTCGTATGAAGGCTGACTACTTCTAAAATCCTTTTGGGGCAATAAAAGGAAACAGAAGACCTTCTCTAGGGCATGGATGACCAAACTTTCAGCTGTGACTTGAGAGTAAAAGTGGCAGTTTTACTCTCCCATTTCGAGGCCAAATCCATCCATATTGCTGGTAATTTTCCTTTCCATTCTGTTTTTTCTCCCCTCTGTTTGTCTGTTTCACAAACTGGCATTACTGACCATCTGGCTTGGACAATGAAATCCGAGGCATTTCTTTTATCCCTGGTCATGGACATGTTGTTCTCATTAGTCTGACTTGTCATGGTCCGACACGGACTGTCAGGCAAACGTTAGCATCGGGCCAAGCCAACTCTCTTTTCCTCTTTAATATCCTGTCTTTCTTGTAATTTTCTCTTGCTTGACTTTGTAGCTTTTCTTTGAAATGATATTGTCTGTCATCAACGCAGTGATTGTGTCATTTTGTATTGCTTTCATTAAGAGCAAAAATAGAGTTGTGTGTGTGTGTGTGTGTGTGTGTGTGTGTGTGTGTGTGTCTCGTATCTTACCCCTACACCCCCACATGGTAACATCACAAACATCCTCTGAGAGAGTATTCCTGAGGAAACAGAAACATAAAAATGAATGCATATGTATACATTCCTTCAATTACATTTTAGTTAACTATTCTTTTCAACAGAATCATTTTATGCTAGCTAATATAAAGAAAAGCCATATGCTGACCTGACCTGTCATAATATCCATGGCATAACTATGTCTGATGAGGCCATGTAGCACTATCACATGTTTTTAATTTCATTTAAACTCAATTAACATAGTTCAATGACAAAAATGTATTTATATTTATGATATAGTAACTTCAGTTATTGTAATGGAAAGGATCGCACATCTGTAACACTGTTTGGTATTGATGTTCCTGATCACATTTACTCTACAAAGCCTTTAATGTTCACTATTAAATCACTTAAAGAAGTAACTAAAGAAAAAACAACACAAATGTACAAATTGATCTGAGGGGTAGCATACCGGCCAGTTTGCGGTTATCCAGCTTGAGTCTGTTGAGCGGGTTGGTGCCGTAGAGCAACACATGGCGCTCTGTATGGACTGACTGCAGCTCCTCCAGAGTGGCTTTACGGCCACGAATACTCTATATGAACAGAACATTTTCATTCGACTTTCTCATCTCTAATACTTTGATAATATAGAAAGAGACAAAACGCATCCATTTTGTAGCCCCAAGGACCAAGAACATGACCTTACATAGGGAATCATATGCACATGTATAATGTAGAATGTAGAATATGTAATGAACAGAAATGTTAAACAGAGAGACAAATTCTGCTCCAACACAAAAAGCCAACCTCTCTTTTTCCAGAAAGACAAATCAAATCAGGTTCTTGTAAGTTTGTTCAGCATGAAAAGTAATTCAAATAGAATGTTTTAAAATTCCATTCAGTATGATGACCACATAAGACTAATAAGACAATATCAGTGTTTAGGCAACTTAGCACCTCCTCAACAACATTACTAATACCAGATTAGTCTAATAAATGTATGTGTGTGTGTGTGTGTGTGTGTGTGTGTGTGTGCAATTATCTCATGTTGTACCTCACACTGTCCCCTCAGGCCTCTCTCCTGTAGTCGGGACCAGATGCTCTGTATCCTCCCAGCATGCTCTGGGTGACTGCTGTTGTCTCCACATGTACACTGGTGCTTCAGCATCTGAGAATCATACACCAGGCCTGCACACAAACACACAAAAATACACAAAAAATGAGGTGAAACAGAATGACTCTCAATATTTTACACAACTATATTCACACTAGGAGCCAAAAGACTGTTAACACTGACCCCTTTTTCTCAATATTTACTCCAGACGGCAGATTTCTGTTTCATGTATTTACAATTAGACATATTTGTGGCATCTGGCAGAAGCTTCACTTCACTTCATTTTTTGATTTTTTAAAGATATTTTTGTCTTTATTGGATAGGACAGCTAAAGATTGAGGGGAAAGAGGGGGATGACACGCAGCAAAGGGCCACAGGCCGGATTCAAACCCATGGCCGCTGCAGCAAAGAGCCAGCCTTGGTACCAGCTCTACCAGCTAAGCTATAGGGCGCCCCAGCTTCACTTTATTTTCTCAGATTATTTTGCCACTTATACATTTTTATTACTTTCCAAAACAATTAACATTAAAGTTAAATGTTATATTAAGCTTGTTTTCATATTAGAATTAGTTGATTAGTGACTGTCAGAATGGCTCATCTGGTTCCTCGGGAAGACATGGACAGGGAATCTCAAACACTTCTTTCCCACATGAGGATCACAGGTCAGACAGCACATGCACTCATAAACACTCCACCCCTAGTTAAAACATGTGAACTAACACCTACAGACTTCAGAGTCAAAGTAGGCCTAGCAACCAGCTGGCAAATCTTTAAAGTCGTTTCTTTAAAACACTTTTAAAGCTGCACTGTTTTATACTTTAAAGTGTTAGTTAAGTTTTAATTGACATTTTAATTATCCAAACGTATTCACATTTCGTTGTCTATTTTAGTTTGATCATGAGTGAGACTTCCTGGAGACAGCCATTCATTTTTGAGTTTCCTTCACTTGGAACAGTGGCTTGGAACTATAATACTATATATAAAGTATCATTTTTGTTTTATTATTACCATTGGAAGCTTTTTATGCCTTTATTAGACAGCCATACTGGAGACATGATCAGAAATTAGGGAGAGAGATGGGAACAGCACACAATAAAGGTCCACAGCTGGATTAAAACCAGGAATGTTGCGGTTCCATGGTAGGCGTCTCAATGGGGGCACCCTGTATTTCAAGTATTATTTATAAAATGATTATACATACCTAATATAATACTGTATATGCATGTGTGACTCACCAGTGGTGAAGCGTGGTTTGCTGCTGGCGTCCTGTGCGGCCAGGCCTAGGGGTTTCTCAGGTAGAGTGAGGGAGGTGGAGGCTGGGGAGGACTGTGTACGTGACAGGGGGCGATGGACACCCAGCCCACTACCAACCCCGCCGCTGCTACGTAACATGGGCACTGCCAGGGTCTCCATCTGTCGATGCAGCTGCTGCAGCTGCTTCTGTTGTTCCCATAGCAACGACTACAGGAAGAGTGGGGTTGTTAAGATGAAACATAGTCTTAGATAAAATTCTAAGTAAATATCATAAACATAGAAGAAGCCTAAGTTTAGTGTTAGCGAAACTGTAGAAAGCACAGGGTCTTATTCAAATCTATGGAGAATATCAGTGCTCATAAATTTCAGTTGTATTGTTAGGCATATGGTATGCAGCTGTACATCCAACTAAAACTCACAACGTGATTTGTATTTGTGCTGGAAATCACGTAACTTTCTCCTTGTTTAATGTGGCTGCTCTGACCTGCACCTTCAAGACTGGGTCTGTCAATATCAAGTACACTGCTTTAAATCTGCAAGTAATTTTTGATTATGCTCAGTACCTTAAAAGTCAGGTTACTAAAACCATTCAATTCCCCTGCCTATAGCTAACACTGAAAACATCACTGATGCTTTGTTTCTTCCATATATAAATTAATCTGAATTTGTTTGTTGTGAAGTCATACATTGCAACAAAGCCTGACTTCTCACTATGTGGTTTGTTTGATCAGCAACTGATTCTGAAAGAGTAATAGCTCAGCTTACAGTACATGCACCCTATCCTCATATGCTGAAACAACCACTTTGATGTTATGAATAGTTGTCAAACCACAAAACCATGAAACAGTAACTAGAACCAAGCAAGTACAAGTGTTAGGATGCCATCTACAGGACTTTTGGATGAAGAGCAGGTCAGTGGTTTTACTACCATCTACCTGCTTTCTGTGTGTGTATATCTCATTTGTGAAAGTATGCTATATTTTCCAACCTGGTTGAGTATGAGTGCATGTTGCAAGTTCATTTGGTCTTCCTGGCTCTTGGATGCTGTTGGCTCCGCCTCCCTCAGCGACTCCGCCCTTGCTCTGCTCTGATAGGTTGGCTCTGTAGGGGACGTCCCGCCACCATCCTCGGAGTCCATATCCTCAGAGGGGATCTGATGCAGTCTGGGCTTCTCGCTGGACTTGGACATCAGCTGCACATGCACATACACACATTTAGGTTGACAAAAATACACATGCAGGCAAATATGTGTTTTTGCACTTTGCATAAAGACATGATGGAGTGAGACAGCAGACTGTACCAGCCCTTCAGCTATCACCACATACTTAAAATACTTCGATGACCCTGCCTTACTTGGTCTGCTAAATGAAAATTACTCTGTTGCAGCCTAGCAATGCTTCACACAATGGTGCGCTGACAGCTACCTCCAGTTGAACATGGACAAAACCAAAGAAGAAGTGCACAAACACACACTGGACTGAACCCCACAACAACAATTTCAAATATCTAGACTCATTATAGACAAAAAACTCAATCAACACCACACTTCTATCCATATCCTAGCAAACACTCCATGTTATCTGTCACTGACACTGTTGATCTGAACATATCTGTGTGAGTGCATAAGGGTCAGCGGTGATACAAGCAGGGGCATGAATGTATACATGTAGATGTGACCAAGTGTATGTTTCATGTATTGGTTATATCTGTATGTTGCTGTGTGGAATGTGTATTAGCTGTGAAAAACTATTTAGGGATTCATGTTTCTGAATACAGGTGAGTGCATCCATACCTTGCCCAGGTGGGTTTGCTGTTTGAGCCTCTCTAGTAGTTGTGTATTGTGCTGTTGTTGGAGGAGATGTGCGTGAAGGGTCCGTGGGCTCTGCGGGAGGGGCTCTGAGCGTGTTCTGCTCAGAGGCTTGTGGGGCTGGGTGCCTCCAGGAGCCAGGTGTTCTAACTGGGGGGCAAACTGGAGCGGGACAGCATCTAGGCCTGGAACTGGGGACAAAGGAGAAGAAAAATAATTAGCTGAATGTATTCACACACAGTTCCTCAAACAGAAATAAACACATAGCTACTACAATGTCAACTTTCTGCTGCTGTATTGTATTTTTTTTTCATTGTAAAACAGCAATGTAAAAGAAATTAATTTCCAAATGTATAACACACACAAGGTGTTTTTTTATGAGTTGCTGAAGTAGAACTGAGAGCACAGGTGGATCTGGATTAAAGGAGTCAGAAGATAACAAAGTGAAAGCAGTTTACTTGCTGATCCGTCAAAGAAAAAAATATTATTTTAAATGTAACCACTGGGTGGTGCTCTAACATTTCAGACAATAAAGTCAAAAGACCTTAATGAAAGCGCTGCTTCCTTTAAGTTGATTAATATATATCTAATGTAATATGTATGTGTACATTTGTGGCTTTTAACATATTGGCTGTGAATACTTGGCACCTTTTGCATTTTACCATACCATACCAATCATACTCAGTAAGTAAATCAGTTACAGAATGTAAAAGTAAAATTAATAATTATTTTTCAGTGTTTCATCCTAAATTGTTGAACTTTTGGCCATACACGTAAGCACATGCATATACATTTCTACACTATATGTGTCTCACCACTGAGTAGCGGAGTGTGTACCAGTCCAGAGGGCTCCAGGATGATGACAGGCATGTGAGGGTTCAGCTGACCAGCCTGATCCTCTCTGCTCAGGGGGAGGAAGACCTGCGTGCCCCCAGCTGTAACCACTGGCACCCGGCCGACTTTCAGAGAGGACAGGTCTCCTTCAGCCTGCGCACAGATAGTTCAACAGCTTTATAGCCACATATAACATGATATCTGACACTCTATCACAGCTGAATTTACAACAAAGAATAAGATGAATATATCTCTGTATGTTGACAGTAGATGATCGGGTTTAGTCAAGGTGAGGTGATAAGAAAAACTCTTATGCCATTTAAATTTCAATACACAGAACTCACATGTATCAATGTCACAGTTAAACAGCATTTTAAGGGCACCATGCTTCCTTTTTTTTTTTTATTTACTTCCTGATTTAAGCAGAATTTCATTCATTGATTCAGTTCACTGAGATTTCCGAATCATGGGATGTTATGTTATGTGAGTTTTGTAAGTTAAGTTTTACACTGCATCTTAAAACACATCTCCTTAAGACATTTTGTCTTGTACTGAGTCTATAAAACTTGTCTATCTAACATGATTTTCTATAAACATAACAAGAGTTCATTTAAAATCTGTCTTTATGATATTTTTTCGCCAATCTAGTGATCAACTTCATTTGACTTGGTAAAATGTTTGAAAGAGCACTTTTCTCACTTGTTTTAGAGAAAAGACATGATTCAAGAAGAAATGAGTTGTTATGACAGACGTCTGCTGCAGTTCAGTGTTTACCCTGGCGTTGGCTGGTAGTCCAAGTGTGATGGTGGGCAGAGTGGAGGGACTCTGGATGGTGAAATTAGCGAGAGTGCCATCTCTGAGCAGAAGCCTCTGAGCCTGCAAAAGCCAAACAGAATTGCTACTCAAAAAGAATACATTTATATTGAAATTTGAATTGAATTGTGTTCATGACAATAAAATAAATCCCATTTGACATTTAGAATAAGTGTTGGTTATGTATGCCATAATGAATCTCTTCTCTGGTACAGCCACACAACTGGTTTTTGCTATATTCTCTTAACATGTTCTGCTGCAGTGACCAAATGTCAGTGTTTAATTAAATTAAACCTAAGCTAGTGTTTTGCCCTGAGCTGTCTTGACACTGGGGAATCATGAGTCAGACATCCACAGCAGGTGTGACAGAGGGTGACTTTCTGTGATTAAATGCATTATGTATAAACAGCTGACAAACACTCACTGCTCCCATACTCTTGTGTCATTGCTTTAAACATGTCATTACTCAGCGTCTCGGCTCAACTCGTGTACATGAAACAGGAACTCGTTCTTACTTGTTTAAAATGCTCATGTTTTTCCATCTCTAAGACAAAAGAGCCCTTCTGAATGGCGAAAAAGGAAATGTTTTATCTCTAGTCTTTCATATTTTTCCCGTCATCAAGCCTTTATCATGATCACTGACTTGATGTAAAAACATGGTTTAGTTATTTTGTTTAATTTAATCTGGTTTTGTCAACTGATGTTTTAGTTGGTTTTACTGTGTGTGTATATGTGCGTGTGTGTGTGTGTGTGTGTGTGTGTGTGTGTGTGTGTGTGTGTGTGTGTGTGTGTGTTAACCTCATGTGAGAGGCCGCCTGCAGATGGCAGTAGCCCATTCTCATTGGGCAGGCTGTCATTGGGAGAACTGCAGCCAGAGACTGGAGTGCTACTGCTGCTGGGGGACGAGTCTGGTGTGAGACAGGAGGTGTGTGAGTTTAGAATACGATTATGCATCTTTATCATAATTCATTGACATTAAATTTTATCACATTAGTGAAATCAAATTTAATCATAGTGGGAAAAAAACAAACAAAAAAAACATTGTTGTGATTTTCACCACATATCAAACAAGAATACTGCATTACCACTCTTATTCATTTGTGTGTGTGTAGTTACCCAGTGCGTCAGGTACTCTGTGTTTGACAGTAGGCGGGGCACTCTCTTTGCGGGTGAGCGGGCTCTTGCGGGTGTTCAGGTGTTTCTTCAGCTTGTGTTTCACCTTCAGATTGGGCTCAGACGCTGACAAATTAAAGCAACGTGGGGATTGTTACTTATGCACAAATGGTAAAACAACAGTGATTCAACCTATTTCCAGTTAATGAAGTCTTGCATACTACAAGTTAAAAAGGGACAAAGTATGTGACTGGCTGTGATTATACCAGGGTTTCTGCAGGTTTAAACAAAAAAAGTACAAAGGATATGAAGGGAAATCAGCATTGGTCCATGACGGTTTTGTTTTATAGCTTTTACAGCACGATCAATACAGGCCCTGCCTCTGGACAAAGCTGACGTGTTATGGCGGATGTCACGTTTTACCTGCTCTGCGCAGCGGTGTCCCCTCTGACCCCTCAGAAGAAGGCTGTGATGGAGACGAGACCAAAGGCTGGGAGGATAAACTGGGGTCTGGGCCCAGCTTTCTGGGAAACCACAACACACAAACATAAATAGACATACAACCACTGGGGTAAACAGTCACACCACATATGGTGGACATTTATTTTAAATTCAGATTTTAGAGTTGATAAGATATCAGCATAACTCATATGTTCATTATGCATATTCAGTGTTTACTTTTGTGCTTTGTGTGTGTGTACGTGTGTGCATTTCGTGTCACCTGTATGCTACAGGAGGTGCAGTCAGACTGTTGGAGTTTGTTCTTTCCAGCGCTGCCTGTTTTTGCTTCTTAAGAATCACCTCCTGGAGTTTCTGTTTTACCAGGGAACTGGCAACTGCACCTGTCAAAATACATAAAAGGCCTCAGCAACTGCTTCATCGTAAAAAAAGCCCAGCCAAAAGCACTGAGTGCACAACCAACCAAATAAAATATATGACAAATGCAAACAGAACAATACTGTAGGAAATTCTGGCAAATTTGTGCGTGATGCAGGTCACTGGTTGTCTGAGAGTATGTCCACTGCTATCTCTTTGTGTATGTGTGTGTGCAGGCGTGTGCAAATGTGTGCACACAGAGGTGACAGGAGGTGCTAGGAGTGATCAAGTCAATATTGACCCAGGGACTTTATGTACACAGACCCAAAGCTATATTTAACTCCACTGTTGTAGCTCCACTTGTGGGGTTATATTTAGTGCTCATTTCAAAGCAAACAGCTTTAAAAATGGAGTAACACTGTTCAATAAAGATGAATAAGATCTCTTGTAGGGACTTTCCTCTCTGCCATGATTAACACATTATTATGTAAGATGTTGAAATAGCTTTTTTATAAAAGCTCAGTTGAAAAAAACACAACTTCAAATGTAAAATGAAACTTGTAATAACATGTTAGTGTAGTTTGTGAAAGTGTGTGTGTGTGTGAGAATGGACTCACTCTGTTGACTCTTGTCTTTGTGTTTTAGCTGCTGCAACTCTTGGTGTTTCTCGTGGTGCTCCTGCTCTCGCCTCCTCTGCTCCATGTTAAACTACACCACCACCAAACACACACATTTATATTATAGCAACATGTATAAAGCAACCGGTAAGACAATACAAGAAGCTAGCCTTCGTTATTCAGATCAGTTCACATTATAATAAAGAAGATTATACTATCTCTATGTTTTATATGCTTTACCCGGATGTGCTGGTGCAGTTGTTGTTGGGAGAAGGAGGTGCGGGGCTGAGGGGAGAACGGGGTGAGGAGTAAAGGCGGATGCAGCGAGGTGAGGAGCGCCGTGTCCGAACCAGGGCGCATCCCCCGCTCTCCCACCCTGAGGTCCATGGGAAACAAGGCAGCGCACGACACTGGCACTGCCACAGAGGAATCTGGGAAAAATAAGAGGGAGAGGAGAGGGAGAGGAGAGAGGCGTCAATTTGCTTTATCCCCACTAAGAAGAGTTGATTTGCATAATACTCTGTGGGAAACTCAACCTGAGAAACAATGAGCACATGTAAACAGAAGCTAAACGAACCAGTGTTTGGGGAAAACCAGTGTTATGGTTCACAGATGTAACAGATACTTTGCAGTTGCAAAACTCATAGCAAAAGGTTAGTACCATTCTGGGACAACTGATTATATATAAGCAGGCTTGACAAACAAAGCTAACTAAAAATATTGTTGTGTTGCAGCTGTGGATCTATTCAGAAATGTTCAGAGTCAGTTAAAGTGAACTGTCTGACATGGTTGACTGTTCCAATTGAAGATACTGTGACACACTATTATAATAACCCTCAGTTGTAGCTTTAGAGTCAGTTGAAGTGAATAAACACTTTTTTTGCTATAAACAACTACTGTAACCTAGAAAATGAGTTACATTTAGCAAAGAAACTACTGCACCACCTCATTTTGAGCTATTTTATCCCACTAGCCTCAGACAGAAAAATATTTCTCATAGGAAAGTTATTCTATTTTACCTAATTTTATTATTTTATTTTTATTTCATTTATTAAGATAAATGGCCATCTATGACTGTACTAACCAGTAAAACATTTTAACAAATGTTACACAACAATTATTTAGTGAGCTTTCAGGGTTGGCATATCCCAATGAGTCTTAGATATTGGTACACATTCAAAAGTCTCATGGCAACGGTACAGTACAACTATAGATAATCATTTTTTTAATTTCTTAGAATATGGACACAAAAGCACAGTCAGTCTATTTTGGGGATCTTAGACAGAATGATGAGAGGACATACAGTAATGTTTGAGTTAACCATTCTTTACTAAGTAAGATATAATAGTCATATCAATTTCAGTGCTATGTTAAAATGCAAAAGGAATCATTTCAAACAGTTATTGGTCATTTCTGTTATTTCTACTTTTATGTAGGCCAAAAGTTGTGTGCATTACATCTTAAGCCCCGACTAGATCAGACTGTACAGTATGACACCAGACTTAACTATGACGATTGCCTATTGCAGTTTATTAAGTGGTCTATCCTACAGATGACAAGTGTGCGTGAGAGTTTTTGTATCCTAACAGAGTTTGCTGCAGTACAAATGATTGAAAACTGACAGTGAAGTTGACCGACTGCAATTAAATCAACTGCTGATCAAGAGGCGAACCAAATGTTTTATTGTAGATATCAACACATGCAAATGGGTCAGTTTTATGAACACAAACACACACAGGGTAGAAATAACATAACTCATAGTGTATATTAATCAACTGCATATGTCCATCTTAGATAATACCTAAACTAGTACCCAGTGGCAAAATAACACGTCTTCCATCTTTGTGTTTTCTTTGTGTGTTACACACAAACTCAAACTATCGCTCACTTTCTCCATCTGTGTGTGTGTGTGCCTATGTGTCTGTCACTCTCTCACACACTCACACACGCATACACACACACACACGAATTTCCATGCTCTTTGCATGCTGTTGGGGTTATTTGCATTGCATGGCTGAGTCAATGGGAAAGATTGCCTCATCCGGCGCTAAAAACAGGATCCGGGAAGGGAACAGCTTGGGAAAAGGCTGGGGGTGGTTTCTGTCTATGAGACACATACACGCACACATTTGCAAGAACGCACACATTCACTCATAGATGCACTTGTATATGCACAGAAAAATGCACACTGACTCACACACTAACAGAGAAACACAGCTGTAACAGTGTATCGTACCACTAACTAACATGAACACGCATATGGATGAAGCAACACACACTCACCTGAAGATGTACTGTATGTACATTTATTCAATATTATTATTCAATTCATTTAAATAAACCCCCAGACACAAACCTTCATAAAAAAATAAAAAAAAACATTC